CTATTCAACAAAATAATGTTTTACTTAAAGTAAATTTGTTTCTCTGAAATAAATATAATCCAAACAAATCGAAATCACGAATGTAAAGAAATATTTCTCTCTGTGTATTGATTATCAATTATATCATTTGGCAACGATGGTTCAAAAAGATGAAAGCAATCATGCTTACTAATATTAATGTTCTTTTTTGACCCTACCTGAATGTTTGGAATAATACTTTCCTGAGCCATAAGTTTATAACAAAACAAAAGCTGATGCCGAGTAGCAATGGAAAGAGCAATATTTTTTCTTGACATTACAACATTAGAAATTTTCCTAAGATTTTTATGAAAACTCTCAAGTCTCATCACAGATAATGAAATAAGTGGTCCAGATAGCATCATGACACGCGTATAATGAATAAGATTGTGATGTTTTGGTTTTAAATGTTGGTTCGTACATTTCATGTACTGATTATGATGTTCCAAAATTAATATTTTAAATGCAGAAACGGATTCCTCTGACACTGATCTGCTGTGCAAAACTTCAATAATTTCTTTTAATAGCAAATACAATTTCCAAAATTCGTCATTGTAAGATTTTATACGATGCCCAATAATTATTCCAAAAAGTCTACAAAAGATTAACATCTCTGATGCTGTCATTTTAAGTTTGGTTTTTGTTGCAAAATCATCACTTATACAGGGTGGTTTGTTCTGTGCATCAAGACCGTAATCAAACATTTGCAGACTGTAATTGAGTCCTGACAAGGTAAAATCACCAATATTAATAAAATGTGATATGATTGGAATCATATCATAGTGAGCGATCCCTTCTGCGACATCATGCATCATGTCAACATAAATATTATCTAGCACATGAAATGAAGTAACTTCGTTAATAACACATTCTTCTTTGATTCCGGTGAGTGAACTATTTTGTAATGCTACATCAGAAATATAAGATGCATGTGTTCTGAGAACAGATTTATCTTCAATACATGTAGTTGGAGAAATATTACGATGTAATTTGCAAAACCTACATGAATAATTTGCTCGGAAACTTTCAATAAATCCGCACATGGCATGAAGACCTAAGTTGTCACCAAGTAATAAACCTAGTACAAAGTATATTTTATAAGTGTTACCATTTACATCAATTGTTATTCCAACATGTTCTGATAATTAAGTTCCTCAATCAGAGGTGCAAAGGTTTTCTTGTTTCCATATTCTTTACGGTCTTGAGATTGGAACAAAAAAACTAAAAAAAAATTTTCCAAACGAGATAGACATTCAGGTGGCAAGCAGGGTACATAACAATATACTCCTCCAATAGAAGAGGAATGAGATCCTAATGGATTATTTGTTTGCCAATCATCGTAATAAACAAAAAGTGGTAGGACAATAGCATTATTTCCAAAACTTGTTTTCTTTTGATGCCAAAGTTTAGATTGAATAAAATTCTTTATACTATCCGATTCTTTAAGTGAATTAATATAATCCATTGTAGCAGTAAAAGTATCAGGCAGTTCAAAGAATTTCTGTAATACTTGTCTCAAAGGTATAAAATAACCATAAACGTCTTTAATTTTTTCAGCAATAAATGATCCAGTATTTTTACGTACTCTTCTTTTGCCTATAAGATACTGAACAAGAGCTATATAATTACCAGACAATTTAAAATATGCTAAGCGTTGATACTCAGTTGTAAGATGATCAAATGGATTTTCTAGACAATCAAACATAGATATAATATCTGTCACTATTTTATCATCAGAATTAAATGCAGTACTTAAAGTTAAAACAACTTTTTCTTTCAAAATGGAAACATGACTATTTATGAGAAATGTACTGTCTTTAATAATAGACTAAATATGATTTCGCGGGATTGAAGGTTTATTGTATAATTTTGCAACAAAAGCATTACTGTGATCTGTTATAAGACCCTTAAATTCGGTAAGAGTTAATTGTTTATTAACAGAAACTTCTTCTAATGACATATCAGAGTTAGTCGTTATACTTTCGTCAACAAGTTTGTTACAGTTTTGTTTTTCATTCAATTTAATACGCTTAGGAAGAGGCTCGTTTAAAAGAGACCAAGCAGGAAAATTATGACAAGATCCAAGTAAATGTTTTTGCAAAGAATTCCACGATGACCATTTTCGATGGCATCCAGTTTCACCACATTTAAAAACTTTAAATGATTTAGCGTAATGTATTATGTTAAAATGTGTCAACAGACCGTTGACAGAGGTTTCTGTCTCTTTACATAAAAAACATGTAGGCATGATGCTATCAAAACACTTAATTATGAGTTCTATTTAATTATAATTAAAGTGATTTGTATTCTTGAATTGCAGCAAGAACACTAGTAGTAAGTTGAGAGTTTTTTTGCTTATCCCACACAGTTTCAATATTATATGTAGCTCTCTGTAGAAACATGAAGAGCTGTTCTACTTCGGGAGGATATTTAATGTTTAGAGCATTACATGACTTGAAAACAAAGTCCACGGCTTTCAATGGTGACTCTACCTCATACCTGAATTGATTGATTGAAACAAAGCACTGACTGATTTCGTCAAAAGATGGACCAACTATCACTGCGATGGGTTGCGAAGTCAAACCAAATGACTGTAGTTTATTTGTTCGTTCTTCTAATTTTGTTTCCAAATCTGCAATTGTCTAACAGAAATAAAGATATTATCAATATAATATAATAAAAATAAGTAGAGTACAATAGAATAGAATATAATATAAGTAAGAAAGTAGTTTTATTTTAATAATATAATATTTATTTTTTATCATTAAAAATATAACGTATATAGAAGATAGAGAGATAAAAGTGAAAGTCAATTTAATTCACCTTTACATGTAGAAGAAATGCTTCTTCACATTCTTCTCTAGAAGATCTTTTGGTTTTCCTTTTTTTACTGTAATCACAGGAAACAAATGAGGCATCAAAGAGAGTTGCAGTTTTGATACCATCTGTTGAAATAAAAATAGATGTATTAAAAATATAAAAAATAAATTAATATAATCACTTTACACTAGTATAATCACATCAATAAATTAGACATAATTAAATATCTTACCTGGTGTAAAGACATGATTCAAACGACTTTTGGCTTTGGTACTTAATTTGTTACATATAAAATCAGATAGTTTTGGCCAAGCAACATAAAATTTCAAATTGCATTCCGGATATAATATTTCAAAATCTTGTTCCAGCTTAAAAAAAAAAAACAAAGTTATTTATATATTATTTATGTATCTGTACAACGCATGCGCGTGTGCGCGTACATTATACATACACATACATACAAACAGAAAATACAATATATATTTATAATAGTAAATAACGATTTGTATTCTTTATATTAAAATAATGTGATATATTCACTAACAGATAGCCTAATGGATCAGAGAAAGCTGGAAACTGATCCATATATTCATGACAAGATTGATTACTTGATGCAAAATTTTTAAGTCGTTTTTTAGAAGTCAAAGACCAGTAGTCACTAACTTTGGGCCATGGATTAAAATTATTTTTCAACCATAATAAATATTCTTCATATCCGTCAATGTCATCGTCATTTAACTCATCTAAAAAAAAATAGACAAATGCAATGTTAAATAAAAATGATATTTTTTACTTGAAAACATTTTCTTATCAGATAATATAAATATTATTAAATTAATCTCTGATAACACTAAAACTTACGTAAACGAAGTTTACTATTATTTTCAGTAGTCGAAGCCTTCACATTGATCAAGCCTGCCTTGATAAGTTTCCTTCGCGTTGCGTAGTATCTTGTAAAAATTTTTCCTTTACCTTGTGACTCACCTCTCTCATTTTTTATATACCACACACTCTGCAAAATAAAATTAACAAAATAATTAGAAACAAAAGATTAGCAAGTATACTATAACTTAATTATATTGTTATATTATTTTTTTACTATATTGTACATAAACTGAATTAACCTTTTCTTCAGTAGGAAACAATTTTTTTATATGTTCGCTCAAGAAGGATACTCTGTTGTTATTAAGAGTGTAGTTTATATCAGGTGACAGCTCATTACTGACAATTATTTTTGCAAGCTTATTTCTTAAATCGTTGTTTAATCTGCCTTCGTTTCTGTATACACCCAACACAAATTGTCCTTCTTCAGATTTGTTTAATATAGTTTCAAGATCCTGCAATAATAAACGTGACAAACAAAAATAAACATGATCTTGTAATAAGAGATGTAATAAATATGTGTTAAATATATACATATATTTATTATATAATATAGTTATATTATATATATAATTGTATTAGATAATAAATAAATAATATGTATATATAAAATATGTATCATATTTCTTACGTATTCATCATCACTAATTAAGCGTCGTTTCACACCTGATCCAGATGTTCGACTTTTTATCAATAAATCATCTGGAAAAAAAAACAATTATTATTACATAACCAAATATTATTTTTTTATAGTTATTACTATTTTTTTTTTTTATTAAAATATCTATTTATTATATATATATATATTTTTTTTTATTTATTAATATTTTATACATTTAATAATTATTAATATTTAATAAATTTCATACTTTTTCAAATATTTATTTTACTAATTTATTATTATTTATAATTATTAACATTTACGTTAATATAAAATAATTAGACTAATATAGGATTAATGTAAGAATAAAAAAGATTGTCTTGTAACTATAAATTCAATTTGTAAAAATTGTGGAAAATGAATAGAATAAAAAATATTTTATTCTTACCACTAAGTACTGGAGTAACTGTATTCACAGTTTCAGGTGATCTGAGAGAATTGTTATTTGGAATATCGGCATTAAAATTTTGTTTTGGAGTTGTAACTATGGTCAGAATTTCAGATGTTGATATGACAGGACTATTATTTGGAATATCGGCATTAAAATTTTGTTGCTTTGGAGTTGTAACTATAGTCAGAGGTTCATGTGTTGATATGAGAGAACTGTTATTTGGAATATCGGCATTAAAATTTTGTTCCTTTGTATCTTCAACTATTATTGCTCGTAAAATTTGTTGTTCTAATGTGTTATCTTCTACAGAATTTATATTAACACATTTTTCCTGTTGCAGTGACGTCTCTTGCATATGCGATTGTGGAATCTTGACAAAAATTAATACCAATAAATCATTAATGACAGTTTTTAATTTATGAAAAAAGTTTATTAACTCAACTGTGAAATATCATGATAATTATATAATGTGGAATAAATACCTCACTAAAATATTTTTGTACTTTACTCTGGAATTTTCTTCGGGGTCCTATGTTTGGAATCAGATTTTTAAGATCCTCTTCTGTTAATATATTAAACTGCTCTACATCAATTTCTTGAGCTGTACATAAAAAACAATTATGATTAAAAATTATTGTAATATATTGTCACATAAGATATTGTCGATAAGCTGCTTAATCGTTACCAAAATAGAAGATATTGTTTTTCTTTTTTTAACTGATTAACAGAAAATAATCATTAATTTGTATTTGATGCATTCGATTTTTAATAATTTATTACGATAGTCAATAGCCAAGCACACGCGTTCGATATCCGATAATAATGTACAATTTATCTTAGAATAATTTCAATTATTTGGAAATTTATGTTATAATAGCTACAAAGACATGTATCAATTGCTTTGGTATATTAAATATATTTTGCAAAATATTAATATGCGCGAGAAATAGCATTGCAGCTATGTAAAAGAAAAGGATCGAGATTGTCGAGATTATATCCTCACGATTATTATCATAACTTATAGATAGACCTGCCCCTACCGTAAGAGGCAGCGTGGCAACAATATACAGTGCAGACATATATAAGCCTTTCTGGCGTTTAGAAAAAAGTGATCTACCAGAAAGCATCTAGAAAGGCTATGTTTGCACCGTATACATATGTCGCCCCGCTGCCTTTACGGCAGGGACTGATAAGTCTATGATTATTATAAATAAAGCAATGATCCACCATAAAGCAACTTACATACCTGTAAAATTTGCAATTACCTCATCACTGACATTCCACTCGAGCAATAAACGCGTTGCTGCGTTAGACGCCATGTTCTCAAAAATTCTCGGTCTTTCGTAGCATCGACGAGAGCCACGCGCGCCTCACGCGGCTCACGCCGCCGAGCCGTCGATGTTCTTCTTTTTTATAAAGCGCGCACATTTCGATCGACAGTAACAAACGTTTGTGTGCCATACCTAAATGTATAGCTCACATACCAATTCTTTTCATTTCCGTATAAATATTGACATGTTAGTGCTGAGTGAAACATATAAATTAGCTGGGCTAACTGTATGTTGCTAAATAAAATGTTTGTGACAGATATGCATAGTTTGCTACCACATCAAAACATTAGTAACAACAGCAAATTTGTTAGTTACAGCAGCAAACGCTATTACAGCAAACCATGATTAGCTATAGGAGAGAATTCTTTTTTTTCCGTGAATGTATTAAAAAAATTATGCGTGTGGTCGCCACGCGCGTTAGAAGTGAAATTTCTGAAAACAAGGCTTTGCCATAACTTTTCTGAAATTAATACAAAAATAATGCAACAGAATTAGTCACTCCAAGCCGCCCGCAACTCGAAAATATAGTGTTATA